CCTACACGAAAAGCGAACCATTCCCATGTTCTTAACACATTTCCTACACTAAGAGAAGCTAAAAGTGTAGAATATGTCAGACCTGGTGCGAGAAGACCATCCACTATTCTCAAGAACACGAGTCTCACCACCATATTCCGTGCCATTTTCATCATCATTTTCACCACCCTCATCATCATCATCCACGTTCAAGAATCCTGTAGGAGCGCAGAGAATGAAATGGATATTAATGAGCAGAAGGTGGCAAACTACGGGTCATAAATACTTCTCCCTTCGAACGACTTCTCGTCAAGTGGCATCTCATAGTTTACTCCCATGAATTTCCCAGTTGGACGTTGCGAAGAGGCTGCTCCTCTCTCTGGCTCTCTAAACATTGGATAAAAATTAAATATGAATCAGAAAGTGTTTAGGACGGACCTGTGTCATGTTCGAATCCAGTGGTTTCCATGTCATGCTGCAAAAAAGGGAAACAAGGTCAAGATTAGAGTCATAGAGATAGCTCGAGGCTGTCCTCAACAAAGATATCACTAGTCAGTGCAAGGTTTTACCCCGAGGATATTGTTAATTCTTGAATTTTCATTTGGAAAAATGTTTGTCTGTTTAGAAAAAAACGGAAACTTGTTTACAAGTAACATCATCTTCCGGTGTAAGCACAAGCAACGGACGTGGCAGAAGAAGATGCTACAGATAGCAAAATTCTTGAACTGAACCGAGAATCATATCAACTGCTAGCAGATTTTTTTTATCATGGAGAGTAGATAAAAAGCTTTGTGCGGATAACTAAATCACCATATGCTCAATACTCGAATATAAAATCGAGAGAAACCAAACAGGCACTTACAGTGTTATCTCCTCTAAGACCATCTCGAGAAGCAGTTCCTACACCTTCTGCACTTTGCTGCATATCATCAGCTTCCTCATTGAACACCGGATCCTTGTTATCAGACTCTATCTCTGCAATTTGGAAAACATCATTATTTGCATCCCCAACTGCGTCACTGCCATTTTCCATAGCTGGCTTACTACAACCACCAGCTTCTACAAACCCAGTTCCAAGGTAATCATCAATTGCATCAACACTCGGAACAGGACGGTCTTTCTCAGTTGATACATCCATCTTTGTCTCATCATGTAAAAGTTGATCTTCATCTTTTAAGTCCATCTCACTCATGCCCATGTTTTCTACATTGCCTTCGGCAACTTCAATGGGATCCTCAGTAACTTGACCATCCACCAGCACATCCTTGTGATTTTCACGAGATCCATCTGTTGCATGTAAATTCTCTGAAAGATTCACTTCATCAGCAGCCCCATTGTCCTCTCTGCCAGCTTCCATCTCCGATTTATCCCCCACAAGCTCATTATTAGCTTTCATTTCCCCCTGTGGATCTTTATTTTGATGGTCCCCCTCGTAAGCATGTCCTCGAGTAGCTTGCTCCCCGGAATCATCTCTGGAAACCGTCGGAACAGAGTTTTCTTCAATTCTATCTTCTTCCACAACATCAGGCCTAATAGAACACTCGTCATCTTTCACTGCTCCAGTAGAAGCATGGCGGTCATCATTTTCAATTACCTTGATTCCTCTCAGATCATATGGCTCGTTGTGCAGAGATACCAGTTCCACTGACAAACCTGAAACACATGGAAAGTTAACACCAGTGTGGCTGCACTCCGCATGAGCAATCAAAAGTAACTAAATGGTGAAATATTTAAACAAAGTATTAAACATGGAGGGATTTAACCTGTACTCAGCCCTGGGAAACGATTAACGTAATAAAGAAAATCAAAGCAAAATGGCACAACCAAGAAAGTATTTAAAAAACAACGCATGCTTATATGAATATATTACGTTGAACTAATATTACGAAAAAACGCAAAGAACCCAGAGAACATTACACATAAGATCCATCATTAAAAACTCGAAATGTATAGCAATATTTTGTTTGGCAGAATAGTTGTGCAGCAGAAAACAACCTATTTTTAAGCAACAGTAGCTTACCAGTGAATACTGGCTCCTTAAAGAGTCCATCCTCCAAAAACTGTCTATGAAGCATTAAGATTTCAGCACAGGTGCACGGTGCTTTCTTTCGTACACGGCGTATATCTTCAGTGTTTGTCAATTGTTGACGTATAACACTAAGGATAAAAAAGGCAAGATCAGAATTCAAGAAAACACCAAAACAAAAACGTAGAAAAGGTTGGATGCAACTGATGCTAAGAAAATAGTAAATACAAACCGTAAAGACAAGACTAAACCTAATTTGCAGATAAGGTAAAAAAAAGATTTGCATCGACAAATTTTTTATATATAATATTCTGATGCCTATCATTGTCTTGAACCTGAGATTAAAGCACAGCATGTCAAGGATAGCACAGAACATAAAAAAATGCATGAATGATGACAGATAACAAAGGTAGGGAAAATGTAATAGTCAACATTTAAGTACACATACTCGCCATGTAAGACCATAAGGTCATCCATAAGAACCTTCCTCTTTGAGGCAGAACGGGGCGCAGACCGTAATCGTTTGTTTGAAGATGCTACTTCAAGCACAGGGGTTGATTTCATCTTCAGAAAAGATGACTTCCCAACTGACACAATTGAAAGACAGGCGTGCCAAGGAGGTGAACATAGTATGAACATGCAGAAGCCCATTTAGATTATTCACAAGGGAAAGGGTGATAAAATGGAGAATATACAATATGTCAGACCTGGTGCGAGAGACAACAAGTCATCGTCATCAGGAATGGAATCCGCAGTTCTCCTAGAGTGGATCAGTCCAACTGACTCAACAGAATTCAAACTTTCTGCAGTTAAGGTGCTCTCGGTGAAAGTACGTTTTCTCCCAGTAATGTTTTTAGTTCCAGGATCTTCTTTAGTAATGTCTCTGTCCTCTTTCTCTGGTGTAGATTCGACCATCAAATCGTCTTCCTTGTCAGCGAGTCCATCAGGAACAGATAGTACCTTTTCAGGAGCAGGCAAATCAGAATCGGCAGATCGAGCCATATTTCCCAACTGCTTATCAGTTGTATGCACATTATCCAGCAGCTCATCTGGTCTACTGTGGTCAGCCTGTGCATCGCCTCGTAAACTAGAATCTGTTTCCTGATTAGCCTCTGACCTTTCGCCACACTCACCTAGCAGAAAAGGTAAAAGATCAGCAAAAACAAGACGGAGAAGAACCAAGATTTGGAATTTTGATACAGCCTTAATTCAGGCAACAAGCATATAACAAACCTCGCGTTTCTACTCGAAGATCTTTTGGTTCCTGAGATGACTGGTGCTCAGCTTCTGACTTCTCAGTGATAACATTATCCTTGCTGGCTCCTGGTACATTTATTACTTGACCCAGATCCTCCATCTCGGTGGTGATGTGAGAACAACAAGGAGATTCAGCACATTTCTGCTCTGCCACCTCTGCCTCATTTTGTTCATTGGTTTTTCCATCTATCTGTGATTTATCCACCATCATGAGAGTTGCTGTTGATTCTCCCTGACAGCCCATCTGCCTGTCTGGGTCACTAGTCTCACCAGGTAGCAATTTCTCGTCTGATTTCTGACCAATATTATGCTCAGAAGACAGGTTCTCGGCACTTTTATGCATCTGACAAACATTTATCTCCCCGGTTGCCTTCCTAGCTTCTTCTGCTGCATCTGACTCATTGTGATCTTCTACTTCCATGTGATCATCGTATGCCGGCTCCTCTCTGGCACTAGATAGGTTTGGCACCTCTACTAATCCAGGAGTCTGTGGAGCTTGAGCATATTCATGTAACTCATTGTGTTTGATAAGATCTTCAACCTGGCAAGAAGAGAATAATAAGGCGTCCAGTCCAAGAGCAAGGTCATACATATTATATATATTAGATAATACCCTTATCTCTAAATGTACATTACCGATAAGGCGTCCAGTTCGGAGATCGGATTGGAGCGTGGATCATCGAGCAAGACTTAACAAGACAAGGGACTAAGTTACTTAGTTTTATCTAACATATATAAGAGATAAGGGTATTATCGGTAATGTACATTTAGGGGAAACCCTAATGACATTAGCCACTTATTTTATCAAAAGACTTGGAAGAAGGTAAATCTTGAAGCCCTATTTTCCTATGTTCTTGGTTGATTTGTTCTTGTCTCTAATTTGATCCTTGGTGTAAATCTTAGGGTTTACATCAGGTAAGAATAGGAATTACCTCCTCTAGATCCAAACCAACTTGAGAAGTGTCACCATCACCAAACCGCTCTGAAAAGGTGTAAGACAGAAAGAGT